ATCTTCCTCGAAAAATCGCCATCCACACACGTCAAAAATTTTTCCACTTCATCCACGAAACATGAAACATGAAACATTTCCCCCCCGCAATATTCGGATATTTTTCGTTAAGAATGTGATCCAGTTGCGGAGATAAACTTCGAAATCTCGAAAGAACGATCCCACGAAGTCGTAAACCACGAAGACGGAGCCCCACCGTTGCAACGATACCATTTCCCTCCCTTTCGTGGTAATAGACAGATTTTCCGCTATATCTGCGCGATACGAGACGAGATTCGCGCAATAATCGGCGACACAATGACGCTTGAGCTTCCGGAACGTTCGGTATTTATTAGACGGAAGCGCGGCGCGGAGGCAGAACGACATTTATATTCATAACGAAACCGGTTCCCGCCCCTGTTCCGTACCATCGATATTTACCCTCGGCAAATATAACGTGGAAATCATTCAATCCTATTGCTCGTTCCGCATCCCTCCTTTCCAATCCTTATTTCTATTCTCGCGATCCGTGACGTTCGAGATTCTGCTCGCAGTTGTTGATTTTTTTGTATTTTTTTTTTTTACAATTGAAACAAAAACGGGCAATCGAAAGGATCGATGACATTGAGGATAATACAAATATCGATTCTTTTTATTTTTTACAGATATTTTTAATCCTTTTTTTTATCTCTTTTTTTGGGGGGGTTGATATCGTTAATCGCGTGATACAATTGTTTCTTGTATAATTACGCTTGTGAATGAACGAGAGTGTACATCGATGAAAAATTGTTGAAAATTGTTTTATAAAATTGTTCGGTTTAACGAATCGTTGGACGATTTTGGTAATTTTATTTTGTTCGTTGGTGAAGTTTTAATTTAATTTTAATCATTTATTATCGAATCGTTAATATCCAATAATATTTTCCATATTTTCTAGAAAAACTATTTGACAAACGAATCGTAAAGTTACAAACAATGACTCACACATGTAACTTTTACGCTGTACAAACGATATTTCAAATTCATCACGGCAAAGTTGCATTTTATCCAAAAAAAAAAAAAAAAAAAATCATCGCTATTTTTATGACGAACTTCGAAATATTCGTCGTTCAATTTAATAACGCTCGAGATTGCAAATAAATGTTACGAAAAAAAAAAAAGAAAAAAGATTCACAAAACGAAATAATACACGTACGTCGATTTAATATTTTAAAGATTAGATTACTAGGAAAAATATTATTTAAATTTCAATGATATGTTTTTAAAATAACATTTTAGCTCAAAAAAAAAAATAAATAAATATTCCATTCTCAAAATCGAACAATCTATTTTTTTCTTTTTAAAATTTTAAACGTAGCTTAAATTCATTCGTCTAAAAATACCTATGATCGCACAAGTGACAAGATCAAATTACAGAAGAAGAAATACTATTTAAACCCCCCTACTTGACTTCAACTAATCACACCGATATAATTGAAAACTGGGAGAAAACACAAAACGCAAACAAAACGAAACCGATGGCCGATGGCTTCCGGTGTTCCGGAATGAGGTTTTGGATCGTTTTGAATTTACATGCTCGTGATCACGTCCGCGGCGCCAATCCGCGTACCAGATTTTCCCGCGATGCGTTTATCGAAATGGAAGAGCGGCCAACGGCCGCTTGTCATTCCAACGTGTGCAACGGGGATTAATACGAGAACGCGACGAGTAATTTTCATCGGGATTTGCTAAACGTAAATCGCCGATTGAATAGAAATTATGGTCGAGCGATGACTATGCGTTCCACTTCCATGATTTTCGTTTTCCCATTGATTCCTTCATTTTTCTTTGATTATTTGTCTTCGATTTACGATTAATTTCACTCTATAATGTGTAATTCATTAACGAATTGTGCAGATTCTCTCGTTATTTATATTTTCTTTTTGGGGAAGGGAGGGAAGGAAATTCAAGAAATTTATAAATAATAACGAAAGTCGAAATTTTTAAGATTTTTCTAGTAATAATAATAATAATAATAATAATAATAATTTTCTATGTTATAGCAGATATGTTATATTGCGAGGAATAATATGCTTATAGAAACTTATAGCATATTATTCAACTATTTCAAAGTAATGTTTTATGGTAGAGAAATAATTCACGTTCAATCGGCTTAGTATACTTAATGTTCGATTATGTAAAACACCTTCTCCAGATGGTCTCCACCATTTTTACCAATGCAATCCAATAAATTTTGCCCGAGAGAAATTTCCATAGAGGCGAGATAATCAGAAAAATAATTCATTGGAAAGCTGGTAAAAGCTGGTACTTTACAATGGACAGAATCGATGGAAGATTAATACCTACAATCCATTGTTTCTAAAAAAAAAAAAAAAAAAAAAAACAGCAAGTACAGAAGAAAATAATTATTTAAATAACATAATTTTTCTGAATATTTATACAAAATTGAAATAATAATCTCTTCGAATTTCGTAATAAATTTCTAAATTTCTCTTTATAAGTGCAAATAACATCCTATTATAACACATAAACATTCCTTCATATCGAAATTTTCTCGAGTCAATCATCTTCCCCTATAAAATTTGTCAATTAAACTTTAACATCGAATAAACTAAATAAATATTATTCCTAAACTATTAATAAATTTATAATCCGATTATTACAAACTTTATACATTATCCAAATCGTCATCCTAAGACAATCGTCAAAATATTCTCGTTCGATTATTCGAGATATATCGAATTAAAGAAGGATCGTCGCGATTTCGCAAAACAAATATATCCCGCGTTTAAATGAAAGAAAAGAAAAAAAAAAAAAAAAAGAAAAAAACTCTCCTCGAGGATGCCGCCGAGCACGCCGTTTATCGGGGATCGTGAATTAAATATTCATCGGAATCGATTCGAGCCGAGGCAGAAGACACCCTTTCCCCCCCCCCCCCCTGCCCTTTGGTCCATGGGAATTGTGATACGTTTCAGGGAACGAGGCGCGTTCCTCTCCAATCCAACATGCATCTAACATTCATGAATTTATCCGATCCGCTGAACTTTTATCCGCGACGAGGCTGAAGAACGCTTACTGGCGGGAATTTCCATCGTTGCATTGGTTGTTTAATGATGCCCGTTTCAGAGGGGTAACGCGAAACTCGACCTCTCTGATCGAAGGTAGGATCGGTTTCCAACTTATTATTCCGTAGTAGTGGAATTTTAGAGGGGTTTGAAGAGGATTCTTATTGAAAGATTTTCCACACCTGGCTTTCTAGAATTCACTTCTCTGGAAGGAGAAGAAATTTTGTCCGTGTTTTCGATAGTTAATAATAGTAACATTGGACATGGTGTTCAAAGGTGTTTCGATTTATATTAGGTTGATTATTTAATGAACTGTCATAGATAATTAAATTTAATATTTATTAAATTAATGGTTAACGTGGATACTTGAATATGTAATAATTCTGTTAAATTAATTCTGATTTCTTTTCGACAAATAATTGGGAATTTCCAATACGAGTTACGGGGAATCGAATTACGGTCAATCGTGGAAAAATATTTACCTAAGAAATGACAAATCGTGATTTCTCCACGATCGAGTATTTTCAATGTTTACCAATTATAAAAGAAAATAATGAAATTTAGAATCGATGTAACGAACTCGTCAGCCAGGAATTTTGTGAAATAACAGCAGGTGTTTCGATTAGATTAGTTTTTGCCTCGCACACGCGTTCTTGCAAACTGTAACAATATTTATTTTTACACACGCGTGAATCATCCTCGGCATGAGAGGATGTGGTATTAAGTAAACGATGGAAAAAATTCGGTCAATAAAGTACACAAGAGCAGCGAATTTAAATGGAAGATCAAATCTTACTCGCCAGAAAATCCATCGAATCGAAACAGTTAAATAAAATTTACAAATTTTTCATATCATCAATATAAAAATGTTTAATTTTCGAGGTAAGTATTTTTTAATATCTCAAAATAATCTTTTCCACCCCTCTTATTTTTTAAATAATCCAGTTATAAGTAAAGAGATGAAAGATTGATGAAAATTTTACTAATTTGGAATATCAATCCAAAAATAAATTAAAAATTCTAAATTTTTTTCTTTAGCAAAATAAAAAAATACGAAATTTCTCTTTCCACGAGCTTAAGCAACAGCTTTCTCTATACGCTCACTACTAGGACCCACTAAGGACCCAGTAGTATTCTGCATGATTCTGCAATTACGAAAAATTTATGCAAGGCGTAAAGGCGACTTCGTGCGTTAAGATGGCCGCAGAAAGGATCTCAAAGGTTGAATGTCTTGCTTGCCACGGCAGTTACTTTTAATTAGAGCGCTAGGACGCTCTATCTTTGAGCGTTTAAAAGAGGGGAAAGCAGAACACCGACTTAGCAGCAATTTTTACCCATTAAGAGTCTCGCGAGACCAAGAAGAATAAGACCGAAATTTTCTTCCCCAGACTTTCTCTATTCTATCTTTTACACTATTCTACCCTTTCCTTCCCTTCATAATTATTCAAATATTCGATTCGCAATTATTCTCACAATTATCGTGGATAATTTTCCTTCTACTAGGAAGAAAAATATTTTCTTGAATCTATTGTCACGGCACAAGATTATATTATTATTCGTTTCATATTTAATTTAAATCGTAATATCGAGAACTATTTGTTTAAAAATATAACAAAATGACTATCTGCCTATTATTTATTTTTTTTTTAATTTTTATTATCTCGTTAATTAATTGGATATTAATTATCGTTTAACGATAAATAATTATTTCGATATCGATGCAATCTAAAATATTTCAATAAAATATCGCGAAATATTAATATTCATATAATTTTTCATATTAAAATAGGAAATAAATCGAAATATTTTATCACTTCGGCCAATTACTGACAATTAAAAATGTTTAATATCGAGGAATATTTTAATTAGCAGTTCAATTTGTTGTAACGATACACAGGATATTGTTAAAGAATTAATTACCACCGATACGAGGTTTAATCACTCGTTTGTACTCACCCTTCGACTGTTGCCATCTTTTGGGTTTAGGTCCGAGGCCACAGTGCCGAAAATGGTTGGCTGTAACAGAAAACGTTTTTTATCGATTATTTATGTATCATTTCAAACAAATATCACAATATCAGAATGCAATTGATTTATTAATTTATATAAAAACATTTTCATATAATTTGATTTTCTCTTCTGTCGAATCGAAAATTTTAAGTTTCACGATTTCAAATTTCATTTACATAATCGCATAATCGTTTTGTAGGCAACGCTAATGGCATCGAATAATTAGAGACATAGAAATTAATAGAAAGCAGTAGAATAAAAAATTTCTAAAAAAACATAATTTAACAATAATTTAAAACTATGGAAATTAAAATTAATTATAAAAATTAAAACAAATGACGTAAAGATTGATGTTTTGTTAACGATAGCATTGATTTTTCACATTATACAAATAACCATAGAATTAATGATTCAGCTTTATTTTTTCGTAAACTATTGAAAAAGTAATTAAACTACTATCCAATATTAATAATCGATTATCGAATAATAATAAATCAAATCAGCCTATTTCATATACTATAACGACTTCCTAACGATATAAATATTGTTAAAAATACAATCTTTCACGATTTTATTAGTTACCCCATGGTCAACATTATTAATCATCTTTTAAAAAATCCATTGACAAAATTCACGGCAGAGAAATCGAATCGATTACTCCTTACATTGAACTTCGATCGTACGAATTGTAATATTGGAATCTGGATCGAAAGAGAAGAGAAATCATTGTCTCTCTCTCTCTCTCTCTCTCTCTCGGCCAAAAATTCGGCGCAGGCGGTCAACCAACCGTTGAGCCAATGTAAGCACAGGTTTACGAGAGAAACGAAAAGAATCATCGGCGATCGATCGTGGCGAAATCGGCAATTACACCTTTCAGCTTTTAACCGGCTGAATATCGCGGTTTTTTCAATCGAACCTCTGTCAATTTCGAAATGGGAAGGGATGATTTCCCACGTGAAATCGTGCGGGACTCGTTCGGGAAAACTGCCGAAACGCGGCAGTAAAAGCTGTCGCCCCGTAAATCTGCGGAATGCCATCCAGCATGACTGCAGTCCACCCATTAACTGCCGCCCCCTCCACCCCTCTCTCACCGAGGAAATGCATTCGCCTGGTTGTATTGGGAAATAAGAGGAAGCGGGACTCTTTCTGGGGATGTATGAAAATAAAAAATAAAGAAAAACAAATATATATATATATATATATAGTACAGGGGAGAGGAGGAAACAGGGGTGTTTAGAAATTATAGCCCGGGTATAGTTTATGCGGAAAAAAGAGGCGGAGACTTGGTGATTTAGCGACGCAATCTCGCTTAATTCGACCCCTTCCTTCGCTACAAATGGAGGATGCTGGAGTAACAACTGTGCCGTTCCATTATCTGCACGATTGTTTGCGGCCCCGTTTGTTGGTTTAATTCATTGTGGCGAGTCTCGGATTCGTATGATAGATTTTTTTTTTGCTCGAATACCGAAACTCGAGGAACGGGGGTGAATAAGTTTTTGTGGAGGGATTTCGAAGATTAATAATAATCTTTTTTATAATTTTTATAATCTTCATAATATACTTAATAATCTTTAATTTTTGGGGTGAGCTTCGAATTTCTAGATAGATTTTTCGTTCGAATGTAAAATTTATAAGAGTTCGAATGTTAGATAGCGATAAGACGTAATGATGATTGAAATCGTTATAATATTTATCGATACAACGGAATATTTCGGTTTGAAAAATGTGTAAATTAGAGGAAGGTGTAAGAAAATTCTGAAAATCCAACGATCGGACGATCGAATATCGATTAAAACACGAATCGATGGGATAACAAACTGCTCGATTCGCAGAGCTCGAAATTCTTCGACAAATACACAACAATCCTGTACACATTCGTCGTTCTGTATATTATATCCCGTCGATATCGAATCTTCCAAATGAATCAACGAATGAATCGATGTGAAAAAAATGAAGAATGAACGCCACTCGAAAAATCGATAATTTCGTAAACCAGAATGGATGAAAGGATTGTCAGAAAAGGACAATGTGAGCGCTTGGAAAAATTGTATTCTGCATTAATCTCTTTGACGAATAGGAAATTGTCGATGACACGATCTCAATCTATTCGCGTTTTCCGATGTAACAGAATAATAGGATATAGGAATATACAAATATATATGATATGAATTAATCATTAGACACGCTAATTACCCATTGTCGTCGACATTATACCTTCGTGTCGTCGATCCTCTACCATATTATTTTGTCATTCAATAATAAATCACACGTAAATGCGTATCGTAAATTCCCCAATGGTTTAGAATAACACATCACCGGTAATAATCCCCGATAATTCTATTGTCTCCAATCTCAAATCAGATCATGTCGGTTGCGAATCGTTTGGATCAATAATATACACCCATTAATTGACCCATTGAATCGAATTTTCAATTTCTAATCTAATTTCTCACTTTTCTCTCCGTCGTAATCTATTACGAATCGAGAGACGAATAAAATTCGATTCATCTTACAAATTTCATCAATTTCTTTCAATCCTTGAAATAATTCTTTTGAAGGAATATTTGAAAGAAAGAAAGAAAGAAAAAAAAAGATACTTATTACGAGATATTTAAATCTGATCTGATATATGCAATCAAATATAACAACGCCCAAATCAAATATAAGGATCTGAATGAATATTCTTTTTTCAAAAAATGTTCACTGAACATTTTTTACAATTCGCCCGTATAACAACGACTCGGCATACAATGTAAAAAATAATCATTATCCTGTTTGGAATTGGTGCGACGTCCAAAAAAATAAAAGGAGCACAATATCAAGCATACAATTCGAGGCGAATCAATATTACGTGTCACATGGATAAATATAACCGCGTGTACTCCCGTGAATCGAGTTTTCAGTTATTGCGTACACGTTATAGCAACTATGAGAATTAATTAAATCTCCTAAATGCTACGCGTTTAGTATTATTTATCCCGATGTTTATATAAATTTCAAAACATGTAGCTTCTCGTATCAATGGGCTACCGTATGTTTCTTCTACACGAATTATTGTATATGAAATATGAAACCGTATCTATATGATGCGTACGCGTTCGATGTGGTCGATAAATCAGTGAAATTAAAAAGATGGTAACTGTGACGTTTTTTTTTTTTTTAGAATGAATATTTCTTTTTCACGAGTCAAATTCATTCTTCTTTCGTTTATTTTTTTTCTTTCTTTCTTTTTTTTTTTTCCTGAACAAAAAGAAAAGAATGGGCTCCTATTTGGTCGTTTATGAAAGCTTCGAACGTAATTCGTGATAATGTAGGTTGGAGAAAAATCGATGTGAAAAACATGGAGAACATAAAAACTCACTCAGAGTAATTGTTATCAGTGTGGATGTACAATAGGAAAAAGACGATTGGATAGGGGAGAAGTATTTGAAAAGTGACGAGAAGGGAGGATTGATGGAAATTTGTACGAATTTTCGTGGATATTTTTATAAAAGGATGCAAATCGAGAAAGAAGATTATATAATATAACTTTTTAAATCCAGAATTATTATTATTATTATTATTATTATTCAAGAGAAATAGAAATTAATATCTCTTAGATAAATTTCTATCATTAATTTTGCTATACGATAATATATTCATAGAAAAATTAATAAAAAAATCCACTGTGAAATTTTCTGCTTTTATCGTTTTCTGTCAGAGTGTCGTAAAAATTTCGAACGAAAGAAATTATAAAATTTTCCTTCCGTCCAGAGATACCAGTTTCTTCTGGTTCGTCCGCGATATCAAGCCAAGATTCTTGACGGCACTTTGTAATTTATGACGTAACAGGGTCAGGTACGGCACGTCGAAGGAGAAAAACAAGTCGAATCGACTCGAACATCCGCAACACGGAATCCGCGCTGAATCGTTCCCTCCTTATCTTTATCCGCTTCGGTGGATCGGTCAACAATCGCGTCCCTAATTCGAAAAAGCGACGAGAAAAAGGCTGTTCGACAAGGCTATTCTCGCGAAAAATTTTTTCACAATTTTCTCTCAGTATTGTTGAATTAATTTTTTTTTTTTTTGTTTCCTTTGAACTATCATTATTGAGATGCAAGCTAAATTTCTCTTATGAGTGATTTTATTACCTAAAATTTTTCTGCCTAATATTTTTTGATTGAATTTATTATTATTGTTATTATTGTTATTATTGTAAATTTTTAAAATTATTTAAATTATTTAAAATTTTTTAAATTATTTCATTTATCATCTTTTAAGATGAAATTCTATGTCAATAAATTATATTTTCCGTATATTATATTTTCATAAATTTTAAATGATAAAAGTTAGGTATAAATTTTCTGATAAATTAAAAAAGCTAAAAAATAAATTAATTAATGGAATAAGAGAGTTTCGTTATTTTCGATTTCTTTCTCTCAAATTCTTGAGAAATTTCGATCCATTTATTTTTGGAAATAAGAAAAGAAATATTAGATTTTTTACTATGTCGAAACGATATCGAAACGAGAAAATTTACGTGTATATACAATCGTGTAAAACACGTAAGAGATAGTTTCGTTATCAGTGTCGTGCCAATTCCGCGGAATTCTCTTTGTTCCGCGTTGAAAACCGCGTACAATGGAAACCTGTTCGTTGACAAAAATGCACAGGAAACAAATGAAAACAAATAATCGAAAATCCGTGGGAAAATTTTATTCGGCAAAAGGCGAGGTGTGCATCGCCATTTTTTTGAAAATACAAAAAAAAAAAAAAAAAAAATTAACCAAATGAACGCTTCTCGTGGAAGGAACAATGGAAAGTGGCTCTTTTCAAACTTTATCCGCCTCAAAAATGATTGACATGAGAAAATAAGTAAAAATATATATTTCCATTGAAAAATATTAGAAAAGCAAATATAATAGAATCTATAGAATAAAATTTCCCAGCAGAAACATACTAATCTTCTTCTATTGAAAATTATTTAAAAAAAAAAATCTATAAAATTTAACAAAATTAAATATTTC